CAGGAGTCAGAGCCCCGAGTAGGAGAACGTCTCTCGCCCCTGAGCAGCTGGGGGAAACGGCCGCAGGAGCAGCCGGAGAGGCGCTGAGACCAGCCGCTCCCAGAGATGCCAGCGGGCGCGTCTCTCGGGGCTGTCAGCTTCACGCGCTGCTCCGAGCGCACTGACGGGCGGGGGGCTAGAGAACAGACGCTGTGGGTCCTGCCAAGCTCCCAGAGGGACGAGCCTGGGGCTGTGGCAGACCTGAGTGTCTGTGCAAACCCAGCCCCGCGCCCCCTGCCCGAAGGTTTAGTAAAAGGTGGTTCGGTCATTAGAGTTTCCCTGTGTCCACAGCTCGCGGCAGACCTGTCACCGCGCGGTGTCATCATCACTGCTCCGAGGAGAAGAGAAAATCCCATTAAAGAGGCGCCCTGCAGGGCTGCTGACACGCTGGGCGCTGGCAGGGCCGCGGGGCTGCGCTCACACGGGGCAGGTGCAGAGGCTGGCTGCCATTCCTGACAGGCCCCTGACCTAATTAGGCTCAATCCCAGTAAATGACTTGGTCTGGAGAAGGACTGGTAATGAGGGCGCCAGTCCAGGATGGGTCTCTCACCGAGTGCGCTCCATGGGCCTGTGCAAGCCTCATCAGGCCGGCCGTGCTGAGCCCCGCTAGCCCAGGGTCCTGTCTTCTATCAGGGCGGTGCCAGGTGCCCCAGAGGAAATGAACAGAACAGGGAATCATCCAGTGATCCATCCCCCATCGCCCATTCCCAGCTTCTGGCAAACAGAGGCTAATGACACCCAGAGCAGGGGGCTGCATCCCTGTCCATTTTGGCTAATAGCCAGTGATGGACCTGCCCTCCAGGAACTGATTTCATTCTTTTCTGAACCCAGTTATACTTTTGGCCTTCAACACCCCCTGGCGAGGAGTTCCACAGGTTGACTGTGTGTTGTGTGAAGTACTTCCTTGTATTTGTTTTAAACCTGCTGCCTATTAATTTCATTGGGCGACTCCTGGTTCATGTGTTATGTGAAGGAGTAAATAACACTTCCCTAGTCACTTTCTCCACACCAGTCATGATTTTATAGACCTCAATCATGTCCCCCCTTAGTCGTCTCTTTTCCAAGCTGAACAGCCCCAGTCTTTTCAATCTCTCCTCATATCAGAGCTGTTCCATCCCCCTAAGCATTTTTGTTGCCCTGCTCTGTACTTTTTCCAATTCGAATATATCATGTTTGCGATGGAGCGACCAGAACTGCACGCAGTATTCACGGTGTGGGCATGCCCTGGATTTCTATAGTGGCATTATGATATTTTCTGTTTTATTCTCTATCCCTTTCCTAATGGTTCCCAACATTCTGTTCGCTTTGTTGACTGCTGCTGCACATTGAGCAGATGTTTTTAGAGAACAATCCATGATGATTCCAAGATCTCTTTCCTGAGTGGTAACAGCTAATTTAGACCTCTTCATTTTATATGTATAGTTGGGATTATGTTTTCCAATGTGCATTACTTTGCATTTATCAACATTAAATTTCATCTGCCATTTTGTTACCCAGTCACCCAGTTTTGTGAGATCCCTTTGTAACTCTTCCCAGTCTGCCTGGGACTTAACTATCTGGAGTAGTTTTGTATCATCTGTAAACTTTGCCACCTCACTGTTTCCCCGTTTCCCCAGATCATTTATGAATATGTTAAATAGGTCCCAGTACAGACCCCTGGGGGACACCACTATTGTCCTCTCTCCATTCTGAAAACTGACCATTTATTCCTACCCTTTGTTTCCTATCTTTTGACCAGTCACTGATCCATGGGAGCACCTTCCCTCTTATCCCATGACAGCTGACTTTGCTTAAGAGCCTTTGCTGAGGGACCTTGTCAAAGGCTTTCTGAAAATCTAAGTCCACTATATCCACTGGATCACCCTTGTTGACCCTCCTCAAAGAATTCTAGTAGATTGGTGAGGCATGATTTCCCTTTACAAAAACCATGTTGACTCTTCTCCAACAAATCCTGTTCATCTATGTGTCTGACAATTTTGTTTCAACCAGTTTTCCTGTCACTGAAGTTAGACTTACTGGCCTGTAATTGCTGGGATCACCTCTGGAGCCTTTTGTAAAAAGGTCCTGTAGCCACCCAGGGCATACTGGGGCAGCTCTCTGCAGCCATTCACACTCCAAGCCCCTCCGCACACAGCCCTTCCTTTGTTCCTGCCGCAGATCTGAGCCCATTAACAACAAAGCCCTGCACCCAGTGACAGAGCCAGCCTGTGATGCCCCTCACTGTGATGCCCCGGGGAGCTGGCTCTGCACCTGAGCTGGTGAGCTCCCAGACAGGTGCTGCCTCTGCAGACAGGTGGGAAGTCACGGGAAGAGCACACACCCCACCAAGGACTCACAGGGGCCACGCACACCTGAAAGAGTAACTAGACATTCCTGCTAAAATTTTAACAACCATGACACTTATGCCACTGCCATCATTAGGTTCCAGGGTTATCACTCCATTCTAAGGTGTGCAGGTAGCTCCCAGAACTGCTCTTTCCCACGGCCTGCAGACACCATGGCCCAGCCCTGTATCGGGATCAAGTGCCAAGGCTAGACATGTAATATGACTCTTACACCAAAGCTGTAATTCTGGGGCCAGAAACGTGCACCCCCCCAGCCCAGACTCTGTGCCAATGCGGCAGGACTGGCTGTGCATGGAGACAGAGAGCTGATAGGCCAGGGTGGTGTCTGCCTTGTGCAATGCAGAGAAGATTAACTAAAGCAGTCATGTCTCCCGTCACTTCCTGCTGGGTCAGTCGCAGGTGGCCAAGGAGCAGGGGGCAGCCCAGAGGAGCTGTGGAGACGCTGAGATGCCCCAAGACACCCATTTCCTGGGGGCCTGGCACCCGGAGCTGATGCACAAGAAACTAGGCGTCACCAAATGAAATTAGTAGGCAGCAGGTTTAAAACGAACACAAGGAAGTATTTCTTCACCCAGCACACTCACCGTCAGCCTACGGAGCTCTGCCAGAGGATGTTGTGAAGGCCAAGACTATAACAGGGTTCAAAAAAGAACTAGATAAGTTCCTGGAGGACAGGTCCATCAATGGCTATTAGCCAGGATGGACAGGGATGGTGTCCCTAGCCGCTGTTTGCCAGAAGCTGGGAATGGGTGACAGGGAATGGATCACTCGATAACTGCCTGGTTCTGTTCATTCCCTCTGGGGCACCTGGCATTGGCCGCTGTCGGTAGACAGGCTACTGGGCTAGATGGACCTTTGGTCTGACCCAGTCTGGCCGTTCTTATGTTTCACCCACTTTACAAATCTCCCGGCCACGCTTGCCAGAGTCATCCTCAGCAGAGCTGCATTGGCTCACCCCAGGGCAGGGCTTACCCTAGTGCATTCAATACAAATGACACCTCATCTCCGCCGGGAACAGACTGAGGTCCCCTGGTGGGGCTGCCTGGCCACCTGGCTAAGTGGGAGCAGCTGAGCAGGCCCCCAGCTGGAGACAGTCAGCAGCAACACTGCAGCACACCAGGTCTAGGATGGTAATAACTGGCCAAGCAGAGAATTCATGCTCCCGCCCCCGCCTCCCTCCCACTGGGGTTCAGATCCTGGCTAGGGGCCCAGGGCTGGAACCTCCAACAGACCGGCAGAGCTGCAGGAGCCTAGGGTGGAATTTGCACCGGTCAGGATGGGGGGGTCCCAGAGAGCAGGTGACTGGGGTGCAGACTCACAACCCCCAGCAGATCCAGCCCGGCCCCTTCTCTGCCGGGGCTCGCCCAGCGAACACCCCTCCAGAGAACCCAGCACTGTGCTGGAGAAGGGGGGGCGGCCCTCACGGGCTTCCCCCAGGGGCCGGGGGCGGGCCGGGCAGGCCGGACCGCCGGGGGGCGTCCTCCGGAGGTGCCGGGGAAACTCCCCGAGGACAGAGCGCGACGCTGGCTCGCTGGGGCTCGCCCCGCTCCCTCCGGACCCGAGCCCCACGTCCTGCCCCGCGGAGCCCGTTACAGGCCGGGCAGCCCCCCCGCCCCCGGCTCCGGGCCCGTCTAGACTGGGGGGCGGCCCCGCTCCGACGCAGCTATTGTCCCCAGCCGCTGCTGCGCCCGGCTGCCCTGTCACCGGGGCGGTCCCCAGGTCCCAGGCGGAGCCGCCCGGCCCGGGCTGGGGGTCCCTGGCGAAGCGAGCGAGGGGAACCGGCCGCCTCGGCCGTGCGCCCCGGAGCGGACAATGCGCCCCGCGCTGGGCCGCGGGGGTTTAATACGAGGAAAGTTGAATCGGAGCCGCGTGGGTCTGTGGGGAGCCCGTGACCCCGTCCCCCAGCCAGCCCCGTGGGAACGCGCGGGGAGGGAGCGTGGGACGGACCCCGGGGGGAGCCCCGAAAGCCAGACGTCCCAGGCGGGCTCCGCAGGACACAGCGGCCCGGGGGGCTGGCGCACGTGTGCGCGGCCGGAGAGAGTGCGGAGATCCACGCGTGTGCGCGGAGGGGTCCCGCTCCGATTCCATCCCACAGCCCCACGCGCGGAGCCACAGACGCAGCCCCCCCCCCCCCCCCCCCCCGTAACAAAGACAATTGGAGGCTGGCTCAGGAGCTTCAAGACAAAAATCCCTGTCTGGCTCCCCCCCCGCCCCCTTTTGTGCGCCCCGCGCCGGGACTGTCACCCCGCGGGGGTCCCTGCAAACCGCTGCACGGCGCCTTCCCCGGCCCGCCAGCCCGGCAACCGGCCCTACCCCACACCTGGGGGGGGGGGTGTTGATCCCGGCCCCAGCCCCTATCCCACACATGGGGGGAGCCCGGCCCTACCCCACACATGGGGGGGGGTCGATCCCAGCCCTACCCCACACATGGGGGGGCTCGATCCCAGCCCTACCCCACACATGGGGGGGCTCGATCCCGGCCCTACCCCACACATGGAGGGCCGGGTGAGTAGCTGTGACGCCAGCTACCAAAGCAAGAGCCCAGGCCCCCCGTCCCGGGGGCAGGGGGCAGCGCGGGGGTCTCTGCGGGGCGGGGCGGGGCGGGTCCGTACTCACAATCGCTCCGTGTTGCGGGGGATGTTTTTGGGGACGCCCCGGAGCCCGGTGCCGTGACAGTCCACGGTGGTGCCGCTGCAGGTGCAGAGCGCGGGGCAGCCGGTGGCCCGCACCCCGCACGCAGCCGCCCAGGCCAGCAGCCAGGCGCCGGCTCGCAGCCACCTGCCCTGCGGGGCCATGCCGGGGACCGCGCTCGCCGGGACGGGGACCGGGACCGGGACCGGGCTCGGAGCTGCGCCGCCGCCGAGCGCCCTCCCCAGCCAGCAGCCGGCTGCGTCTGAGCGCAGAGCTCCGCGCCCCCCACCCCCCATCCATCAATCGCAGACACAACCCCCAGCCCCGGCCGGCTCCTCCCCCAGCGCCGGCCCCTCGCCGCGGGGCGCAGCGCCCCGGCGCGCACACAAAGGAACTGCCCCCTCCGCCGGATCGGGCCCGGCCTGGGGCGCATGCGGCTGAGGGGGCTGCAGGAGGGGAGGGGGCACCCCGAGGCTCTAGTCGGAGCAGGGGGTTCAGCCCCCCCGCCCCACCACATGGGGGGTCATGGTGTGTGCAGAGCCTGGCCCTGCTGGGGACAGGGCGCCGGGTGCCAAAGGTCACGGCGGGCCTGGGAACAGCATCAGCTCTGCCATGAGCCACCTGGCAAAGCGCCTGGCGTGGCCCTGCCCGAGTCCAGCCTTCGGCCCCGCAGCTGCGCCCGCCGGGAACCCTGGTGCTGAGCAGAGCGGCTCCAGGGGGCTCCGGGAGGGCTGGGCTGTGGCCCTCTGGTGGCTCCGGAGTCCGCCCAGCCCAGCCCACGGCTCCGGGTCCACGATGTCAAGTTCCTCCGAGGGAAGAGCAAAGGGAGCCTCCCGCGGGCCTGGGCTGCAGCGGCTGCTCCTGGGAGCAGCGGAGGGGCCAGTGGCTCCCAGGGAGCTCAAGTCACTTCAGAAGCAGTTGGACTTGGACGGGCTCCAGCGGGGAGACGAGTCCAGCCTGCTTGGGACAAAAGGACTGAGCTGCCACACTGATCTCCGGCCCCTGAACTAGCCGGCTCAAGTCCTTATCTAGCCCCCATCAGCTCGGTATCTGAGCACTGCCCAACGCCCAACCATTAATGTATCTAGCCCCATGCCCCCAGCTGTGATCCTCACCGTACAGATGGCACCAAGGCACACACAGGTTCAGAGGCTCATAAGAACGGCCAGACTGGGTCAGACCAAAGGTCCATCTAGCCCCGTATCCCGTCTCTGACTGTGGCCAATGCCAGGTGCTCCAGAGGAAATTAACAGAACAGGTAATGATCAAGTGATCCATCCCCTGTCACCCATTCCCAGCTTCTGGCAAACAGAGGCTAGGGCCACCATCCCTGCCCATCCTGGCTAATAGCCATGAACTTATCTAGCTCTTTTTTGAACCCTGTTATAGTCTTGGCCTTCACATCCCCTGGCAAGGAGTTCCACAGATTGACTGTGCATTGTATGAAGAAATACTTCCTTTTGTTTGGTTTAAACCTGCTGCCTATTAATTTCATTGGATGACCCTGGTTCCTGTGTTAGTGAATAGGGAAGTGTTATTTACCCCTTCACATTTCTCCACACCAGTCATGATTTTATAGCCCTCTATCAAATCCCCCCGCCCCTCCTTAGGTGTCTCTTTTCCCAGCTGAACAGTCCCAGTCTTTTTAATCTCTCCTTGTACAGAAGCTGTTCCATCCCCCTCCTCATCTTTGTTGCCCTTCCGGGTGTCTTTCCCAATTCTCATAGATCTTTGTGAGATGGGGCGAGCAGAGCTGCGGGCCGTGTTCACGGCATGGGTGTACCAGGGATTCCTACACTGGCATTAGGATATTCACTAATGATCTAGCCCTTTCTGCCCGTTCCGTTAGCTCCGTTCACTCCCCCGAAGCTACACAGGAAGTCTGTGGTGGAGCAGGGATCGAACCCGGGTCTCTGGTTAGTGTCTGGATGTAGAAATTAGTCCGGGGGGGGTGAAGCTCCCAGAGGGGGATCATGTTAAGCCCACACTGGAACCCCAGATCTGAACACCCCAACTTTGGGGAGACTCAGGGCTGAATCAGAGCTCTGCAGCTGGCCTCAATAAACTGAACCAAAAGCCTGTCTCCTCCAATCAGGGAACAGAAACAGTGCCACATGACTGGTGCCCGGGGCCTGAGTTTCGAATCCATGCAGCAGCACCATCCACGCAGTATTTCCTGATGCAGTTACCTGGGGAATGATTTCAACAAACAAAAAACTCTCAGTTCATGAGAAAGGAGGCAAAAACCACCCAATGCCAGTGTGGCCAGTGCCGGTAATCCTGAGTCATAAGAACGGCCAGACTGGGTCAGGCCAAAGGTCCATCCAGCCCAGCATCCTGTCTGCCGACAGTGGCCAATGCCAGGTGCCCCAGAGGGAATGAACAGAACCGGGAATCATCAAGTGATCCATCCCCTGTCACCCATCCCCAGCTTCCAGCAAACAGAGGCTAGGGACGCCACCCCTGTCCATCCTGGCTAATAGCCATTGATGGACCTAGCCTCCATGAACTAATCTAGTTCTTTTTTGAACCCTGTTATAGTCTCGGTCTTCATAACATCCACAGGCAAGGAGTTCCACAGCTTGACTGTGTGTTGTGTGAAGAAATACTTCCTTTTGTTTGTTTTAATGCTGCTGCCTATTAATTTCATTTGGTGACCCCTAGTTCTTGTGTTATGAGAAGGAGTAAATAACACTTCCTGATTTACTTTCTCCACACCAGTCATGATTTTACAGACCTCGATCATATCCCCCCTTAGTCGTCTCTTTTGCAAGCTGAATAGGCCCAGCCTTATTAATCTCTCCTCATACAGAAGCTGCTCCATACCTCTCATCATTTTTATTGCCCATTTCTGAACCTTTTCCAATTCCAATATATCCTTTTTGAGATGGGGCGACCACATCTGCACGCAGCATTCGAGGTGTGGGCATCCCAGGGATTTATGTAGAGGCAATGTGATATTCTCTGTCTTCTTATCTCTCCCTTGCTTAATGGTTCCCAACATTCTGTTCGCTTTTTTGACTGCTGCCAGCCCTCCCAAAAGACTGGCTTCAAACTCATGAGATCTTACACAGTAAGCAATGGCGTTCTTTCTATCCACCTGCTGCTCTTAGAGCCTCTGGGATGTCACTTCCCAGCTTTTCTCCTCAAGTAGCAGGGCTGGAAACGTCCATTATTGCAGTGAAAGCTGAGAGTCTCACAGAACCCCAGGACCCCCGAAGCTGGGGTTGTAAGAAAAACACCCAACATTGTGAGGTTCATGATAAAATCAGGAGTGTTTGCTGCACCGAGATCAGCTGCTATGAATGATCCGCTCCGTTCTAAGCGTATCGCCCCAGAAAACAGATGCCACTAAAAGAGACAAGGCTGGGGCCCTGTTAGGCTCCATGCAAGCGCCTGGGGCCAGACGTGGATTCGGAGCAGGGCTCTGACAGCGTAGAGGGAGTGAGTTACAGCGACGGAGGGGCAGTACATTAACCCTCCCCGTGTACCATTCCGCCTGGACTAGCCCTTTCCTCGCTCCCCTGCTGGGGGGCTTCCTTCCCCTCTGGTTTCTTACCTAGGTCAGGGCGCTGCCTCTCGGGACTCTGCGGTCAGTGGTTATTTCCTGGCTGCTGCGTATTGCTAAACCCCAGGGACCGGCTCCTCACAGCAGTCTGGGCAGCACCTAGTGTGTATCAGAGGCACCCTGCCAGCTTCCCCCCCCCCCCCAACTCCTTCCCTCCAGACCCCACGAGAGCTCGGCCTTTTACCAACACACAGTCCCTGCCCCAAGATGGGCCTGATCCTGGTCCCATTGGAGTCGCACCATTAACTTCCAGGGGCGCAGGATGGAGCCCTGAAAGGGGCTCCTCTTTCTTCCTGCGTCTCTTCCCTCCCCCTGCTTTTCCTTTGCACCTGCTCCTTGTGCTGGGGGGCAGGAAGGCGGATACTCCGCAGAGGCTGAGCGGTGGGTGCTCCCCACGTAGCTCCCCAAGCCAGCGCTCCTCCACCAGACACACGTCTGCGCCAGCTCCGGGGAGGGCAGCCAGGACACACGCTTGGCCCACCAGAGCATCCTCCCCCCAGGCCTCGGTTACAGGCTCCTCATCTGTCTGTGTCTGTGACATCTCCTTCCTCTGGCCCCAGCGCTGGGAGGGAGCCGAGGCCCAGATGCATGAAAGGGGGGTTTCTTGTTGCTACTCAGAAGCCCTGACCTTAGGGAAGCAGCGCTTGTTCCCAGCCTCTGGGAGCTGCTCCGGTGCTGGCAGGGCCCCAGGCCGAGCTGGCCCCAGGGAGGAGGGAAGCCGAGCGGTGGCTCAAGGAAGTGTCCCAGCTGGCACAGAAGGGGACCCCAAGGAGGGCCGGGCGCTGGGGGAGCCCCACGGGCTCTACCTTCTCTCTCTGCTGAACGTATCCTCCGCGCCCCAGAGCCCCTGGCCTAGGGCCAGCCTGCCTGGGCCAGCCTTTGCTCAGACAGAGGGGTCCTGCCCCAGCAGGTGAGAGAGGGAAGCTAGCTCCCCCAGCCATTCGGGGCTCCCTGTCCAGGTGAACCTGGCAGCGGGACCAGGGTGGGAGCAGAGCCATTGCCAGAGTCACTCAGCCAGGGAGCACCCTCCCGATGTGTGGGTGAATGGGCCCCCAGCCAGCATGTCCCTGCAGCAACAGAGCGAGACCTGGCACATGGGTCCAGACGCTGCCATGCCAGGAGCTCAGGAAAGCACCGGGGCTGCAGCAACAGCCCAGGGAGCCGCTCAGCAGGAGCGGCTGGGGAAGAAGGGGTCAGGCGCTGGGCTGGGCCTCGTGTTCCCAGCTCTGTGACAGACTCCTGGGTGTCCTTGGGTGAGTCACTTAATCTCTGGGCCTCAGCTCCCTGCTGGAACTTGGGCTCACCGATGCTGGGAGGGTAAATGCACGGTATGCGCAGGCGCCCAGAGGCTCCGGTGATGGCACCCATGTAAGAACCTACTTACGTAGGGCTGGTAGCCATTGCCAGCTGCTACCTCAGCCTCAGCCTTGCCCCCTGGAGGGCAGGTGTTCTGAGTGGGCTGAAGGAGTGACTCCATAGCTAGGAGGGGTAGAAGGCTGTTATCCTATGTGGACAGACAATACACAAGTAGGAGTGTGTTGCTACAGCTGGTTATTTTGAGAAGAGCGAACACAGGAAGGGCCTGGTCTGGGAGCT